ATCTGAAAAATGTCTCAAAGACCAGTCTTAGGTTTTACAATAGTGATGTTATCTACAGCAGTGACTGGGGAAGTCGCAAATCTTGCCCCTGTCAAGGAGACCTGACCTTAAGCCATGAGCAGTTACAACAGCAGGGAAGAGAGGGAACTGTGGCTGCGTAACTTTTAGCTACATCTATACTTTTATCAAAATCAGAGCTTTATCACAATTCCTGCTTTATGGCCTTATTTTAATAGAGTTAGTTTCAATAAGACAGTTTTTATCCCTATTTTTCTATAATCTTCTATGACATTGTATTTGTCGTTCCCCATTTCTCATGGGGAAGCTGTGAGAATCCAGGATAAATTCATTGCAATTATAAAAGAAAAACCTTTACAAAAAAAAAATAAAGGAATATAGTACTTTTTTTTTTTTTTAGGGTTTAGGAGCTTTTAATGCTGTGTTTTCATAAAGTCATTGGTCCATCTCTGGCAGGGCAAGAATGTGCCCCTCGCCCTGGCCACAGGTGGAAGCTCAGACTCCCCCATAGCAAGGTCTTCAGAGTGGAGAGGGGCTTCCCTTGTAGTGTAGTGCAGTGACACCCCAACCCAGAAGCAAGAATGTAAGGAGAAGAATACATAATGAGCACCCATATGCCAGGCCTATGCAAGGCACTTTCCAGTGTTTTCTCAGTTAATCCTCACACCAACCACATGAGTAGGCATCCCCATTTTACAGATGAGGAATCCTGAGGCTTAGAGAGGCTAATCAATTTGTCCGTCATAAAATGCACAAGTCTGTCAAAGCTGGGATGAAAATCCAGGTCTTCTGACTTTCCCACTCTGCCACACTGAATTCTCCCTCTGGTCCAGCCTCAGCTTCCCATAAGTTCACTTTTAATATCATGTCCCATGTATGTCCTGGCCCTCTGAGGAAAGGCGTTAGCAGCAGGATGGGTAGGGATCCTGGCAAGATTCCTCTGAAACAGCAAATATGACCTTAGAAGTCACTGTCTAGGTCACTCTCCGCTGAATAGCGTTTCCCAAGGAAACAATGAGGTAGAGCAGTCTGCGAGTGCAACAGAGCCCACCTTCTGTCGATTCTCTGTGGAGTCAGATACCACAAAAGGGGCAATGCTCAAAGGAAGGTGAAGAAAGCAGGAGTCAGGAAGGCGAACAGAAGTAGTGTCAAAACTGCCACGGCAGGTTGGAAGACAGTCAACAGATCAAAGAACATGTTTCCCAGCAACCGGGGAGCCCAGGACCTTTTGGCTCTCATCCAGGAGGTGTCTTGTCATCTGCTTGCTCAAAAATGACTCGGAAGCCTTGAATACGTCCTATGCCAGGCCCCAGGGGTATTCATTTCGATAGCAGGGACAGCAGCCCCAACTCATTCAGTCTTTCCTTGGCTACTGCCTCCCAGCCCTTGTTGGCCTGGGGGTTACGGGGAGAGGGATGCAGCAGCCCCTCCACCTGGACCTCTGGCATCAGGCCTGACAGAGCCCGCCGTGCCCGCTGCTCCGCCAGTCGCCCCACTCCCACCACCAGCCGCACCCCCAGCAGCTGCACCTGCCGGCAGAGGGCTGCGTCACAGATCCCAAGAAGCTGCTCTCGTTGCTTGGCAGGCAGCTCAGCAGGGGTGAGGTTGCGCCCGCTGGGAGTCAGGAAGAGCAGAGGACACAGATTGTGGACAAAGCAGTGACGGAAGAAGACCTCAGGCTGTCCACAGAGGTTCTGGAAAAAGCCCCAGAATCGGGCACCGCTCACCTCTGACTGTGGGCACTCCAGTCCCAGCACTGGTCGTTTAGGGTGCTCTTGGGGAGGGGTCAGCACAGGCCCCCCAATGCCCAACCAGTCCCGGACCATGCTCACTTCCCCAAAGGGCACTTGGGGTCCTGGCAATAGCGAGTCACATAGTTGCGATGTGGCTCCCACGCATACTCCACAGGATTGTAGATGATGCCCACTGGCTCTGAAAACTGCAACTGGCTCAGCTCAGCATTGAGCCGAAGCTCCTCCTCCAGGAAGCCCTCAGCCAAGCTTCGAGGGCAGGGCTGGGGCTCCATCAGGGCACCTGTAGGCTCATGGAGGGATCCCAGTGGGAAAGCCTGGGGCACAGCCATGCTGCTGTCACCTGGTCCAGCTCCCCATCTTGTTTCCGGTTCCTTTCCCCACCCCCGGCGCGAAGGCTGTTTTTTTTTTTTTAAATCTACCACAAATATAATCTATCCCACCGGGTGTCACAGTAGAGAGTTAGCTAATGCTAAATTCAACAGCCAAAGTAAATCTAAACGGGAATGGCCTCTGTCAAAGTCCTGTTTCCAGGAAAATGAGAGGTGAGTAGAGAAAACGAGGGCAGCCTTGCTGTGGAAGCGGAGAACCTAAGGGAAGGGCGAGACAAGGCCAAAGAAGTGATGGCTAGAAGAAGTGGCTGGAACGGAGCCAGAAGACACAGGGCCTTCTAAGACACCTTTCAGATTTTATCCTCCATCCAAGAGCAGTAACAGGCCAGCTCCAGGTCTGGAGGAAGAAGATGACACGACACTTCCTGCCTGAACAAGTCAGACGGGCTGGGCTGTGGAGCACACCGTGGGGGCCAGAGTGGATCTGGGGAGACCACCGAGGAGCTTCTGCAAGTCCTGGGCAGACCTGATGCCGAGTGGAAGTCAGAGGCTGCCTTGGACAACAAAGTCCGTTCTCAGGTGGCCACACTGTCCTGTGTGATCGAGCCATGGAGGAAGATGAGGGATCATAAAAATTGTTACTGTCCATGGTTTATGTAGGATTCCAGGTGTGCATGGGGTAAAGATGAAATGAGGGTGAGCTCATTGCCTTCCTACTGGGTTTACCTTAGGCCAGTACTTTTACTGGTTTTTAGTTCTTCAAAGAGGTTCTATGGCATCAGAATCAAAGTACGTGTTAAAAATGCAGAGCTCCAGACACAGCCTTAGAAACACTTTATCAATAAACAAAGATTGCTATGTAAAGGATGGGTTCCCCGATTTGATGGGAAAATAGGATTAGAGCTCTCGAGAGCTGTTAAATGAAATAAGCACAAGACCTTTGGTCTGAGGGTTATCTCCAAACTTTTAGTTCTCTAATCAGGAATTGCAACCTAACTTAGTATATAAAAAAGCCAAAAAACCTAGCCAAGGAATATATGTTCTTAATAGATTTCAGGGTCTTAGCCAATCGCAAGTAGTAAAGCTTCAGGCAATCACAGGCTGCCACCTGTCCAGACCATGTAGAAATAAGAGAAATGCATAGCTGTAACCAATGAAGCTATTTCTGTACTTTCCTTCTGTTTACTGCCAATAAACACTCATTGCCCAGATGGCAGACAGGAACCCTCTGAACCTCTTCTGGATCCAAATGCTACCCAATTCATGAATTTTTCTTTGCTCAAATAAGCTGTGAAATTTAATTTGTTGAGGCCGGTGCAGTGACTCACGCCTGTAATCCTAGCACTCTAGGAGGCCGAGGCAGGCCGATTGTTTGAGCTCAGGAGTTCGAGACCAGCCTGAGCAAGAGTGAGAC